AATCAGGGACAGTGATCTGAATCAATGAATTGAATCACAGTCCCTGATTCAGGCTGAATTTGAATCCAAATCAAATAGGGCCCACTTCACACACCCCTAGTGGCAGAGGTCCATCCTTATGGTTCTTGGTGCAGGCCTAAGATACAGGTAGCACAAAAAAAGGTTACTGTCCTATGGCAGGGGTTCCCAACCATTTTATGCTGAGGACTGGTAAACTGTGGATCAGATGTGACCGCGGACTGGCAAACCACAGACTGGAAGTGACCGCAGACCAGCAAACTGCGAACCAGCAGTGACCAGCAGGGCCATCCCTAGGATGGGGTGAATTGTGGTGACCACCCTGGGTCCTGTGCTTTGGGGGGCCCATGGAGCCAGGCAGAGTGACTGCATTGCCTCCACAGTGCCACTGCCCCCCACCCCTGCTGTATCCCTCCTTGAATCCAGCGCTTCCACATGCTCAGCACCACCCTCCCATCGCTGCCAAATGTGCCACTGGCTTCCTTGCATCCGGGGGTGGGGCCCCACACAGGCTGATTTGCCCCAGGCCCTGCAGCCTGATCAGGTCATCTCTGGTGACCAGCATACTGCTGGCAGGTAGTATAAAAAAGGGTTGGCTGCTGGTCTGCAGTATGCCTGTCACTTTCATTCCATGGTTTGCCAGTCCAGAGTCACTTCCTGTCCAGCAGCGAGCCCTCCTGTGGACCAGCAGCCAACACTTTGAGGCCCAGGGGCTGGGAACCGTTGTCCTATGGGACATTTCATAGAAATCATGTAATTAGCAGTCTCCCATGAAATAGCTGGTTCCCTGTGAAAAAGCACAGGGAACTGGCTTTGTTCAAAAAGCTGTCTCCTAGCACGGCGGGGTGAGGGTGGGGAACAAATGGGAAAAAAGGCAGGCTGCCCATCTCCTGAAGAGGGCAGGTGGGGAGAGATGGGGAAAAGTTCCTGGCTTCAGGAGGGGAACCATGGAAAAAACAGCCAAAAGTCCCCCTTTCCTGGTGGGGGGGTGGAGGGGCAGGATGACAGGGAGCTTTATTTTAGCCAGGTAGCTAGCTTTACATTTCAATTGGGTAGGGGAGCTCTTTAATTGCTACACTTAAACTGTTTGTTTACTCAATAATTATCATCCTCCCCCCTTGAAGAGAGTGATAATTACTAAATTAACAACCCAGGCAGCTCCAGCTAGGGCTTTCAAGGAGTGCCTGGGAGGGGTGGGACTTGCACCACTCCTCAGCCAATCAGAGGCGTGGGGGGGGGGGCACTTTGCTCCACCTTCAAAATGGCAGCTACAGCTGTGAAATGCGAGGCGCCAGCTGTGTTATCAGCCACTGGGGTCCGTGAATTTGGTAGGCCCCTACCTATAACAGAAAGGATTTAAAGGAAACTGATGTTCTTGCCTCATTCTAAGGTTCTTGAGCTGCTGAGGAGACTCTACTAAAGATTTGAGGGAGATGGCTCAGGTGATTCAGATGTCAGTGAGAGTACCCATACCCAGAGTTTGGAGTCCTGTGAAGATGTGGGACAAAGAGACAGCTGGGATAATAGAAGCCTCTCCGCCAGAAAAGCAAATAATGGAAGCTAGCCAGAAAAAACAAAACCTGGAAGAACTAGTCTTTGTTTCCTACCATGTGATAAAACTAGGGCATTCAGGAAAGATGAGGTTAGCCCTAAAGCTCACAACACCAAAATGTTCAAGAGTTTTCACTGCTGCTGTGATGGCAGCTTTCCAGTTCTGGAGCTACAATTCACAACCACAGGCAATGCGGCGGGGGGGGCCGGGCACGTGCCTCCCCTGACAGGGCCGTCCCTGCTCTGCGTGCAGATGCTCGCCAGCTCTGGCCCTGCCACCGAAGCTGCCGCCAGCGTCTCCGGGAGCTCGCCAGCTCTGCCCCCGCTGCTGCCAGCATCTGCGGATACTCACCAGCTCTGGCCCCACTGCTGACACCGCTGGTAGCGTCTGAGGGTGCCCCTAAGTTGCCCATGTATCAGAGCTTTTTAACTTGGTATCAGTGGCTTTTCTGTGACTCCCAAGGGACCTTTGGAAGCAGCATTTCCATTAGGTGTGAGACAGCTCTCCTTCTCCCCTGTCACGGACCCTTCTCATCTCAACCTTCGGGCCCTGCTTCTGTTACCGGCTTCCCAACTGTCACGGACATTCTGCTCCCAACATTCCATTCCTCCCACACCCTGTCAACTGCCATGGAATGTTCTGGTTCTCTCTCACTCCAGAACAGCAATGTTGTCCTCCTTCTGCTTGAAGGACCATCATCTATAACACAGTTTGGGCCAGAGCCTCAGCAGGTCAACTAAGTTTCCTAGGAATCAAATGGCGTTATGCTGACTTACACCAAGAGGATCGAACCATTTGAGGGATTTCTTCTGCTCCCATGGCTCTAGCCTTGCTGAGGAAAAGCACGTTTGATAGCAGCCAGCTAAAACATCAGCCGACAGCTTCAAGTCCATTTGAAATTGTAAATTTGATTCTTATCCTGCCCTCAAATAGCACTATCCGCTCCAAACAAATTGAAAAAAAAAATACTGCTGCAGTTCCACTACACTTCCCCATTAAGGTCCATTGTGGCAAATTTAAGATTTCACTGAATCTATCCCATATGATCTGTTGCAGTGATCTATGACACAGTGATCTATTATAAATCATCTGTGATCTATTGCAGGGTCTGAGTTCCTTGAAATTTGTAATGTATGTATCCCCACTACGACCTTCTGGCAGGGAAATATTTCATATCCTTCATATGCAAACAGAAAATGAGAGCACAAAGAGACTCATCAGCTTGCCTAAGTCTGTGACAGAGCAGGGAATTAACTCACATCACCTGATATGGGGCTAGGCTATAAGAATACCTCTCTTCTTGTGCGGGACCTAATATGCCTCAGGCACAGCTCTGATAGCTAGTTATGTTGTGGCTGTTTTGCCAGGACAGAGCAGCTCTAAAAGCAGCCATGCCACTTCTCACAAAATCCCTGTGCTGCTGAAGGATTCACCACTGCTGGAGAGCCAGGATATGGGAGACAGGCAAAAAAACAGGGTTGCCACTGTAGTGAAATGGCTAAAAAAAAAAGAGAGAGAGAGAGAGAGAGCTCGTTTGCACTTCAGTGCTACCTTGAGGCCCCTGGCAGCTGTTACTGTAGGCACTCCAGTTGATTTGATATAGAGTGAGAGATCAGCATGATGGAGAGGTGACGCAGGATCAGGTGAGTACAAAGGTGGCTTGGAGCTTAAAGGTGGCTTATCTTTTGCTACTCATTTATGGGCAATAAACTGTTAGGAATTATTAAAGAAAGCAAAGCAGAAAATATTGTTATACTGCAGTCCAAATCCACAGCACATTTACATCTTGAATATCTGTGAATTTCTGGTCCCCCCACCTCCAAAAGGATATAGCAGAACTGGAAAAAGTAGAGAGGAGGATCCCTCCAGAGGTTGTGCAATCGCCTACCCTGGAAATCTTCAAGAGGAGTCTGGATGGTCACCTCGTTGCCTGACCCCCAGTTGTCTTTCCTGCCTGGTGCAGGGGGCTGGACCCGACGATCTTCCAAGGTCCCTTCCGGCCTTACAATCTATGAATCAATTTATGTATGAACCTATCGATTTTATGGATGACAGGACATGAAGTCTTAGGCATTTTTTATATTTCCTCTCATTCCCCTGGGGGACAGGAAAGCTGCCCCTCTTGTTCAGCTGACTATGAGGTCACCATCACAACATGCCAAATACTGCCAAGTCCTTCAGGAGAAAGAGGGAAGTGAGAATCTGCCATTTCTTCCATTTCCTGTGTATAAAAATCAAGGGGATCTGGGAAAGAAAAAAGCCCTAGGAGTATGAGGCAGTGCACAGAGAAACAGTTGTTCCTCTGCAGTTTAATTTTCAGTATAGATCTGATTGTGCCTGATCTCAGTTCGTCCAGTTCATACTGCCTGGATGAATCAGATTTGGAAACCCTAATTTGTGAATGAGAGTGAACAAGGCCATCACCTTCCATCCTTGTTGGGGCTAACCCTCCTCTTGCAAAGGCGACACGTAGGGAGAGCATGGTCAAGTGCCCCCCTTGAGATTGGCCACCACCAAAGCCACCACTGACTTCTGCAGGCAGTTGCCGCTTGCCAGCCACTCCCCCTCACCACTGACGCCACTGCTGGTGTCTGTGGGCGGTCCCTGTTCGCCACCCCTGCCCACCACTGACACCGCCACTGGCATCTGCAGGCAGTCCCTGTTTGCTGCTTGCCGACACCGATGCCAACATCTGCAGGCAGTTGCTGCTTACCACTGCCAACACCGACACTGGCATCTGCAGGCGGTTCCTGCTCGCTTCTCGCCTCTTGCCTCCATGGTGCACCCCCAGTCTCAGGAGGCACCAGTCGTTCATATCCTCTTGGTTACTGTGACCTGCTTTCGTATAGTATGGCAGCACCCCAAAATATTCTTGGGACATGTCAGAGGAAGTGACACCTTGAAACCTCTGCAAAGTGAGCACCCCAGTGCAATAGCATTTGGCTGTGGGGGGACCCCCGGTCAGAGATTGGCTGCGGGGGACCCCCCTGCTGCCAACACCACCGTGGCAGCCTGCAGATGGTCCCTGCTGGGCCCACCCTCACCACAGATATCAGTGCCACTGCCACACCCCCACTGCTGACACGCTGCCTGTGGGCAGTTGCTGTGCCCCCAGCCTCAGGAGGCACATGTAGCTTATGATGCCAGCTCAGTTCAACATCAGATAATGCATGATGCAACATGGAGGGTTTAAATCCCCAGGGGCAAAGGCACATAACCCACAAAAAAGAGGATCTCAACCTTGCTCCAGTCCCTGCACTTCTGTGGCCCAAATGTCCCTGCTGTGCTCAAAGCCCATGTCAGGTGGACACCCTCCCCCCCAAATGCCCTCTTCTGGGACTGTCCAGCTCTGCTAAGCCTCCCCACCCCTTCCCCCTACCCTGAAGAGTCTCCTTGTGGGAGGGAAATGTATACTGAGCACAGGGGGAGCATGGAGGTGCTGGGACCAGGGGAGGGGGAGCTGTGGGCATGGCTGGGGGAGGGAGATGCAGCCCGGGGCGGGTGAGGGAGCACAACTGGAGGAGCAGGCACAGCCGGGGGATGGGGGCAGGGGGGAGCTAAGCCGCCAAGGAACGGGTCTGGCCCAGAGCGTGGGGTTGGGGGGGGCTTGACCTTCGCAGCACAATCACCTTGCCCCCTCCCATCC